TCTCCTCCACGTTGCCTGAAGACTTCTGCAGTTATCATCCTAATACCATGTAGCTGTCCATCTATTTTTTTTTTAACATCTTTATTGGAGTATAATTGCTTTACAATGGCGTGTTAGTTTCTGCTTTATAACAAAGTGAATCAGCTATACATATACATATATCCCCATATCCCCTCCCTCTTGAGTCTCCCTCCCACCCTCCCTATCCCACCCCTCTAGGTGGTCACAAAGCACCGAGCTGATCCCCCTGTGCTATGCAGCTGCTTCCCACTAGCTATCTATTTTACATTTGTTAGTATATATAAGTCCATGCCACTCTCTCACTTCATCCCAGCTTACCCTTCCCCCCCCCATGTCCTCAAGTCCATTCTCTACATCTGCGTCTTTATTCCTGTCCTGCCCCTAGGTTCTTCAGAACCTTTTTTTTTTAGATTCCATATATATGTTAGCATACGGTATTTATTTTTCTCTTTCTGACTTACTTCACTCGGTATGACAGTCTCTAGGTCCATCTACCTCACTACAAAAAACTCAATTTCGTTTTTTTATGGCTGAGTAATATTCCATTGTATATATGTGCCACATCTTCTTTATCCATTCATCTGTCGATGGACACTTAGGTTGCTTCCATGTCCTGGCTATTGTAAATAGAGCTGCAGTGAACATTGGGGTACATGACTCTTTTTGAATTATGGTTTTCTCAGGGTATATGCCCAGTAGTGGGATTCCTGGGTCATATGGTAGTTCTATTTTTAGTTTTTTAAGGAACCTCCATACTGTTTTCCATAGTGACTGTATCAATTTACATTCCCACCAACAGTGCAAGAGGGTTCCCTTTTCTCCACACCCTCTCCAGCAATTATTGTTTGTAGATTTTTTGATGATGGCCATTCTGACCAGTGTGAGGTGATACCTCATTGTAGTTTTGATTTGCATCTCTTTAATGATTAGTGATGTTGAGCATCCTTTCATGTGTTTGTTGGCAATCTGTATATCTTCTTTGGAGAAATGTCTGTTTAAGTCTTCTGCTCATTTTTGGATTGGGTTGTTTGTTTTTTTGATATGGAGCTGCATGAGCTGCTTGTAAATTTTGGAGATTAATCCTTTGTCAGTTGCTTCATTTACAAATATTTTCTCCCATTCTGAGGGTTGTCTTTTTGTCTTGTTTATGGTTTCCTTTGCTGTGCAGAAGCTTTTAAGTTTCATTAGGTCCCATTTGTTTATTTTTGCTTTTATTTCCATTTCTCTAGGAGGTGGGTCAAAAAGGATCTTGCTGTGATTTATGTCATAGAGTGTTCTGCCTATGTTTTCCTCTAAGAGTTTTATAGTGTCTGGCCTTACATTTAGGTCTTTAATCAATTTTGAGTTTATTTTTGTGTATGGTGTTAGGGAGTATACTAACTTCATTCTTTTACACGTAGCTGTCCAGTTTTCCCAGCACCACTTATTGAAGAGGCTGTCTTTTCTCCATTGTATATTCTTGCCTCCTTTATCAAAACTAAGGTGACCATATGTGCATGGGTTTATCTCTGGGCTTTCTATCCTGTTCCATTACCATTGCAACAAAAAGAATAAAATACCTAGGAATAAACCTACCTAAGGAGACAGAAGACCTGTATACAGAAAACTATAAGACACTGATGAAAGAAATTAAACATGATACAAACAGATGGAGAAATATACTGTGTTCTTGGATTAGAAGAATCAACACTGTGAAAATGACTATACTACCCAAAGCAATCTACAGATTCAGTGCAATTCCTATCAAACTACCAATGGCATTTTTCACAGAACTAGAACAAAAAATTTCACAATTTATTTATTTTTGCTGTGTTGGGTCTTTGTTTCTGTGTGAGGGCTTTCTCTAGTTGCGGCAAGCAGGGGCCACTCCTCATCGCGGTGCGTGGGCCTGTCACTATTGCGGCCTCTCCTGTTGCGGAGCACAGCCTCCAGATGCGCAGGCTCAGTAGTTGTGGCTCACGGGCCTACTTGCTCCGCGGCATGTGGGATCCTCCCAGACCAGGGCTTGAACCCGTGTCCCCTGCATTAGCAGGCAGATTCTCAACCACTGCGCCACCAGGGAAGCCCCCCAAAACTTCACAATTTGTATGGAAACACAGAAGACCTCAAATAGCCAAATCAATCTTGAAAAAGAAAAACGGAGCTGGAGGAATCAGGCTCCAGACCTCAGATTATACAACAAAGCTACAGTAATCAAGACAGTATGGTACTGGCACAGAGACAGAAATAGAGATCAATTTCCATCTATTGCTAAACAGATCCGTTCTCTTCCTTCACTCTAGTTACTGGCCTCTTTGTATATCTTAACTCAAGCCCCTATGCAGTGTCTATGGTGTAAAATAGCAGTTTTCACACTTTTTTTTCTAAAGCCATGAAATTCAAAGAAAGCTTTAAAAAAATAGATTAGGCTGGTCTGGCTAAAACAGGGGAGATAAAATTAGAGAGGTAGCCAGGAACACACCTTGTGTGTTAGGGTGTTTAAGCATTACCATGAAAGCTATGGGGAGCAAATAAAGGATTTCAAGGGAGAAAAAACACATCAGACTTGTGCATTTTGAATGATTCCTCTGGCAGATGTGAGGAGGGTAATTTTAAGAGGGTCCAGACAGAATCAGAAAGACTAGGAAGGAGAATATGAGGAATGTAGAGGATATTAAGGAATCAGAATCAACAGAACTTACTGTCTGTGTATGAAGGCAGTGAAAGAGAGGCGTATAGTATGTCTCCCACGTTTCAAGCTTGGACAATTATTGATGCAGGGTTCAGCGGTTGCCAATTATGGAAATGGGGAAGATAGGAGGAGGAACAGATTTAGGGAAAAAGACATTGAGCTCACTTTTGAACACAACAAGTTTGAGGAAGATACCTAGTAAACCATTTGGGTAAAGGGATGTGGAAATCAGCAGAAATCTGGTTTGGATACCCCGCTTGTATCCAAGTCTATGTTACTATTTGCATACTATTCTCAGCCTCTACTTAACTGCTCAAAGTTCGTATTAAGTAAAGTCTTTTTCAACTAAATTGTCTATAAAGTCTTGCTTCCTTCCAATATGTTTTGCAAAATGTAGGTTGTCTGCCACACTCGTTACTGCAGTAATTACTTCTCTCCTTCTCTTTCCAAAGTGCTCTTTGCATAATCTGAGTTTTGAGTCTTATTCAGGGTTCTCTGCATTCAGAGAAATAGGGAAGGTTTTGCTTTGTGCACTTTGGCAGAAACAGTAATTTCTGTCTAGAATCTGAACTCAAAAGAAGATTTAAAGGCTCTAGCGGTGAAGAAACAGGAATTAATAGAAAACCATGGGTGTAACCTGCAGAAGGTAAAATAGACTAGGTTGATATATGTGGTAAGAAAAGAGGTGCTATGTATAATAAACTAAATATATTATGCTTTGTTTAGAAGGTTAAATTGTGCTATGCATTGTTTTCTGTTACATTTTAACATGGTAGTTTTCAAATTTGGGTTGAACGTCTTTGAGGGGCCACTGGGAGGGAGGGTTGTTAGGTATTGACAGCTGGGACTTCAGGCCCATCACCACTATTTCAGCCAGAACAACCTAATCTGTTTTACATAGGCTTTCATTGAAGAAGGGATTCTATGGCTTTTTTTTTTTTTAAGGGTGAAAATCACTGTTTTTTGCAACAGAGGCTGTAAGACATAAGAAGAGGTCAGTAGAGGTCAGTAGATGGACATCTTGGTAGTATTAGGATGATAACTACAGAAAGTTTCAGGCAACCTGGAGACACACAGTGACCAAACCTCTCGGCACTTCCAAGCAAATTCCTCACCAAGAAGAGAAATATCGTGATGGTCTGGCTGCGCATGGACTTTGGGGCCCTACTTGGTTGGAAAGAGGGGCTTAAAACTGCTTGTATTCAAGATGAAAAATATACTGTCGAAACCAAATAATTGGAGGGAGGGGATGTTATTGACATGACAGAGGGCTAAAGTCCTCCAAGTCCTCTCTTGGAACCAAAATGAGTGCACGTGTGCAGATCTATGGAGACAATCATAAAGGGATTATGCAAGCCATGTGACAAGAGGAGGTTGACAGCTGTGATGTCAGAGGCAGTGAAATGCAGGATGTTCCTTAAATGGGCCACAAATTTTCTGCCAATATTTTTTTCTCCATTTGGAACAATTTCCTTCCTTTTTCAATTATCTAACCTCTACCTCTTCTTCAATAACTCGGTTCAAACACTGTCTGAAACAAGAAGCCCAATAAAAGTTGAATAGATGGCCTTCTTTGTGACACTAACAGGACAAAATTCTAGTCCATTTAAATACTGATTTATTTTTGTTCCCTCACATCTTAGCTTCTTAAGGCAATGCACGACATCTAAATCTGCATTTCCAAAGTTCAGCACAGCAAGAACCTAATGTCTGTTGAATTAATAAATCCACAAGGCTTTTATTAAGATCTCTTCAAAGTAATTCGGGTGGAATTATTTACGGAATTCTGATTCAGGCAAGTGTTTTAAAGGTGAAATAAAACATGCCCATGATTAAGGAAGACGGGAGAAAGGAAAGATGTAGTATTTTGAGTTTGTGTGTGTGTGTGTGTGTGTGTGTGTGAAGAAAGTGAGGCAAGAAGTGATAAAAATGCCTCTCGAATAAGACATTAAGTGACTTGATTAAGGTATCTCAAATAAAGTTACAGATATCAACCAATGTATTGGAATGTACGTGTTGGGGACAGGGGAGAAATGACACAAACTTATTCAAGTTTTTTGGATAGTGAAACAACGACCTTCATGTTGACTGGCAAAACTAGCGTCCTGAACAAAAGATGCTCCCAGACAAAATGTACAAGGACACCAAAGAAAACTATCGCAACACAACGGCGAGTGAGTTAAGTTTTTCTGCACGCTTTCAAAATTGCCTTCTGCTCTCTCCTGCTCTCCTGCTTTTGGTAAATCAAACCCACCCTTGCTCAAATCAGACAAAATATCTTAAAACACTTAAAACAAAAACACCGTGCCTTGAAGTGCAAAGATGGGTCTTGGGCTGTGGACTGCGGTGAGTCCCTTCCTGGGACGCTGCGGTGAAGCTGACTCCCCAATGTCTCCGGGGAATTCCGATGGCACCGACTGCGCTGTGGGCAAGCAGAAACCCCGGCGGGTTTCAGGAGCAGAGCCCAGACACCCTCCTGCCGCCGCTTGGGCGGGACGGCGTCCCCAGGGCCCTGCGGAAGACGAGGGGAAAGGCGGGCGCGAGGCCAGAACGGGAAGCTCTGGCGCTGGTAGCCCCGGCACCGGTAGCCCCCTAGCCCCACCTGGCCCGCAACCCGGAAGCAGATGCGAGCCGCGCTGCGTGGCTGGCTTGCGATTCCGGGTCGGCCCGCGCTGCGGGCAGCGCTGCTGGCCGCGCTCGGTTCGTAGTCGCAGAGGCCCGCCCCCGCTCTCCGGACCTGGGCAGGCGGTGGCCGCTCGGCCGCTCCCGGGGCCACATGGCTGAGGGGGACGCAGGGAGCGACCAGAGGCAGGTGAGGCCCCGGCGGGGAGCCGACCTTTAGGCTCGGCTCGGCCTCGCCTCACCGTTCCGGGCCTCCTCGGCCGAGGGGCCTCTGTCCGGGGCCGCCCCCGGTCTCGCCCGCACCGCCCGCGCCGGAGGCCGCGCCGTTCGCTCCGCCGCGTCCCATTGCCCCGGCGCTTGATCTCAGCCGATCGCTCTCGGGCCGGCCGCTTACGGGCGTCGGCGCCCTGGGCCTGCCTCGGGCGCTGTCATGGTCAACCATCAGCACGCGATTGAGCAGCTCCCGGCGGGAGGCAGAAACCCGGGTTCTGCTCCCCGCCCAGTCCCCGCCGGGTCACCTTGGATAGGTCACTTAAGAACCGTTTCTGCTTTGCAAAACGGGCAATAATAACACAGACACTGGAGTCACTGAACCTTCCTCCTCTTGGCGTTGAGCTTTCCCCAGCGCGTGGCTCACGTGGGCGCTCTTAAAGCTTTTCCGAATGCGCTATGAGGACAAAATGAGACGATACAAAGTTGAATGTATACTTTGCTTCCCATTTTTACCTTTGGGTCCGGTTTTACTCTTCTTTAAGCCGAAACCAAAAGAGTAATTTATGAAATGTTTCGAGGGTTTGATGACCAAAAACCCCAACAACCGCCCAGCCTCGTGCCCAAATTCAAAACAAAAACAACGAAGGAGATAGCCAGTAGTAATATAGGGCGAATATAATAAGTAACAGTGCTACCAGGGAGTGGGGGCGTGGGGTTACCTGTTAAAAAGAGAAGGTGGAGCAGAGGAGTTATGTTCATCCTTTCACTTGTAAATCTCACTGCAGGATATGGGAGTGCATGTATATTTTGGCTCAGTAGTGGTCAAAAGCACAGTGATGTAGTAGCAAGGCTGCTGCCAGTCATTGCAATCGTGTCTGGTACCCAGAGAGTAGAACATGGTGACCGGCTGCTGAGAACGTTTGGTATCGTTCATTCAGGGATCCTTCATCCAAGCTGGTGATGTTAAATACAAATACCTTATAAAGCAATAAGGAAAACTCAGGTTTTTAGGGTCGGTGCATTCTTTGACTTTTTTTCCCCCCATCAATCTCTTTCAGAATGAGGAAATTGAAGCAATGGCAGCTATATATGGCGAGGAATGGTGTGTCATTGATGACTGTGCCAAAATATTTTGTATTAGAATTAGCGACGATATAGATGACCCCAAATGGACCCTTTGCTTGCAGGTATTTTTGCCCTTCTCTACAGCCATTTTCCAGTTACAGTGTTGACTCTTGTATGATTGACTGCTATTGTATTCCTGTAATGATTATTCTTGTGTGACTTGTTCTGAATTGTCTTTTTGTTGTTGGCTTTTGTTAACGATTGATGATCTAAATATATGGGTAATTAAATCTCAGATCACTCTCAAGTAATGCTTTCATAGATGGTCTCAATCTTTTCTCTCCCAATTATTTTATTTATTTAAGTGTTCTTAATGTACCATTGGCAGACTTGAGTTTCACTCCCTTTCACTATCCTGTACGTTTAATAGAAGAGAGTCTAAACCTCGGAAGATGACTAACATTTAAGAGGAAGAATAGGTTAGTTATTTAGATGGTTCATAGAGTAGATACTCATTTCTTTGTTAGTTGGGAATCAGTTGTGGTTAGGCTAAATGAAAACATCAGCTATGGCTTTCTATTTTAATGCTTATTCTTTGATGACTGCCTATACTTCCAACATAAAAGAGGCCAAATTGAGTTTTTGTCAGTGTTTGTTTTTATAGTAATACTGATTTGAAAAGAAACGTGCATGGTTCTCTATTAAGTGTTTGCTATTTAATGTATTTAATAGTGTCTGGTAGGATTTTTGTTTTTTAATTTCTTAAGAAAAATATCTGGAACATGTTATAATGCCGCTCTTTCATTTGGGGTTGGGGTATAATGCCCCTATTTCAGTTTTTCTTTTCCTTTTGTCTTTGTCCTCCCCACTTATTTTCTAATTTTCATTGCTTTTATACTTTCTCTGCAAATAATGATCTCCTTCTTAAAAGATTGGCATCATCTTAACAACATATTTAAGGCAGCAGCATAAATATGAGGTGGGAATTCTCTCCTGAAATTTAACAAAACAATGGTTTTGTTTCTTAGTTTGGCAAGTTAGAAATCTGTCCAATGACTGGCTTTATGAATGTTGTTATTTTTGAGCCATGATGAAGTATAAGCAGATTTGTTTTTAAACTGCTTTGTAGGTGATGCTACCGAATGAATACCCAGGTACAGCGCCACCTGTTTATCAACTGAAGTAAGCTATATTTCTACATTTATATTTTTTTATAAAAAGATTATACTTTTCAAAGATTGTTTCTCTGTACTGTACATTGTGTTTATATAGACTACCTTATCAAAATGTATATAGAAATCAAAAACACCTTTTGGACTTGATGTACAGCATTTAAACTTAAAAATTAAATTATGTAAAAACACTTTGAAGTTTGCCACTTAGTATAAAAGAGAATCAGAGGATCCATAGTGGGTAAAATAGCTACAGAATTGTCTTTAGAGACGGGGGGAAATCTTCCTCTTTAGACAACCTAGCAATCTAGAAACCTTGGCCTATAGAGTTGCTCCTAACCTGGTTCTGCTGACCTCGCCAGTTCCTTGACATGCCTCTGTGTAAGACGGCCTGCCTTCCAGGAATCACCCATGGTGCTTGTGGTGCTTGTCCTGCCCTTTTTGTGGAGGAGCCATCTCAGCAGCCCAAGCGCAGTCTTAATGAGTCATGACGTGTTGATTGCAAGTAACCTTTGATCCAGCTTGCCCGCTTGACCTACTAAGCTGTGTAAACCTGTGCAGACAGAATTGCATTAAATCTCAATTACTAAAATTTTTACCTTCCAGTCAGATTGTCTTTTGTATGAGTGTTTTAAAACCATAGCGGTAAAATTTGCTATTACTCATGTTCTGTAATTTTTCATTTTTATTGACAATGAAAGATATTATAGAATGCTTGTAAACATCTGTGCCCTTTTCAGAAAAAGTTGATTATTTCTTTTACAGTCATGTGGCAACTGACTTATTTGTTAGAGTTGTTTTTGAGACACCAGTTAGAAAAAATTGGGAAGTCCTGATAGTGTGGCAAATACTGTGAATCTGGAAATTTAGATTCTGGAACCTCTTCTGCCACTTAGGTAAACTAGGGCAGATTTATGATATCCTATGAACTCCCCTGTTTTTTAAGCCATATTTTAATTGAATAATAATGGTGTTGGCTTCATCATGGTTTTGGGGGAGGAATAAATGAATTAATGCCAATGAAAGCATTTTGGAGCTGTATCGATTTATACAACATAACATAACATTTTGATGAAAATAGAAAAAATTTTAAAGTTAAATAAAACCAGTTTGTGATTAATCAGTATTTTTTCTTTGAGATATAAACACAATCTTTGAATAATCTTCTTTATTTTGTTGTATTTAATCTTAGTGCTCCTTGGCTTCAAGGGCAAGAACGTGCAGATTTATCGAATAGCCTTGAGGAAATATATATGTAAGTGATGGATGATTAAAAAAAATTCTATGAGTGACTCTATTGTGGGCCTTTGTTGGAATCATGATATGTTAGGGCCTTTTCTAAACTTTTTGTTAAGCTGCTTTTCCATTAACAAAAAGAATATACTTGAAAAATCCTTGAAAGATTGGTTGTATAATGTAATTTTATATATACATTTGATACGAATTCTGCTTAGAAACAAAAATACACTATTATTTAGAACTAATAGCTATAAAGACACTTAGCCAGCTTGTGAAAGTAAATTCAGAGGTACTGCTCTTATTTTGCTATTTTCATAGGCTATGTTGAATGAAACTGGTAACAGCAGAATCCTAAGCATAATTATTCATTAAACTACTATATATTTTTAATGGTAATGTTCTTGTATTAGGCCATAAGACAGAGAGTCTATTGATATACTGTATTTTTCACTCTTTCATTCATTCAACAAATGCTATATGGCAGGCATTGTACTAGATCCTGGATACGCATAATTAGCAAAAACAGAAATGGTCCCTGTTTTCATTTAGAATTTGCAGGTAGGGGAGATATTACTCATAACATTGTAAAAATGAATGTCACACTGCAGCTGTGATAAGTTCTGTAAAAGAAAGATATTAATATATAGTACTAATTGAGTTTGAAAGAAGTCCTGACCTAGTCTAGGAGGTCAGGGATGGCTTGTTTGACTTAAGAGCTGAGTTACGTAAGTGAAGATAACTCCAGTGAAGGGCCACAGCATGTGCAAAGGCTCTCTGTCAATGAGTTTGGCACATGTCAAGATACAACGTAATGGTGGTATTAAGTGGGAAAAGAGAGGGGAGGAGAGAAGGGAACATGGTGGGAAAATGACCTAGTAATACGGTAGGCAGGGGAAATTATGGAGAGTCCTGTAGGCCATGTTGAGGATTTTTGTCTTTATCCTAAGGCCTTTGGGAAGCAGAGAAGAGTTTTAAGTGGTGTGATGCCATGATAAGATTTTCATTTAGAAAACACCATTCTGTTTCTGGGTGAGAACTGATTGGAAGGGAGCAAGAATAGATGTGGGATATCAGGAGGCTAGTGAAGTAGTCCAGAGAAGATATTTCTGTGATTTGGGTTAATTTTAATGAGATACATTAATTTAGTACAACAAATAATGTTCTGGAACATCAGTTTTACTGTAATCCAGGAACTGGTAAGGATCGTTTTATATGTTGTAGGTGGCTACCCCATTTGGCACAGTGAGAGAACCCCCTTTGTATCTGTGGGATCTAGACCAGGTTTCTTTTCCTCACAGAATATTTAATTTAAAAATGCTAAGTCTTCATGGAATTGATTCTATTTATTCCTTCCTAGAGGAAGTGTGGTCTTCCTTGAGTTCCTAGGTTTATACTTGACTCTGGAAGTAACCAAGAACTGGACATATCAATGGGAGAGGCCCCCATTTAGTGATTCCATCATCCTCAGCATATAAATATTACATGTTTTCTCAATGAAATATTTTCTGATACCTGTCCCTGACCTTACTGGCCACTCCAACTTTTGTGCCCCCAACAAACTTCTTTCTGTAATCTTTTATTTATGCCTATTTACCAATTTATCTCCCCCCTAAAGTAGAATAAGATAAATATACTGCAAATTTGCTCACCAGTGATGTCGTAATTATACATCTTACAGTCATTTTTCAGTTCTTATCTTACTTGACCTCTGTAACTTTTGGTGGTGTTGAACACTTTCTCTTCTTGAAAAATCTTCCAACACTTGGCTTCCATCCTGTTAATCATATTCATCAATTAGATTTTTCTCCTATCTATGCACAATGTCATGCACTCTGAAATGGCTTCCCATCTGCCTTTTTTCTGCCCCAAAAGTGCCCCCTTTATTAAGAGATA